GGGTTTGCCAGGCCTGCCAGGCCCGCACCCCAGGTGCACCAGGCCCCCCAGGTTCGCCAGGCCCGCCAGACCTGCCAGGCCCACACCGCAGGTGCGGCCAAGGGTTCACTGGGCCCGCCAGAGGTACGCCAGGGGTTCGCCGGTCACCAGGGGTTCGCCGGGTCTACCAAGCCCGGCAGGCCCACCAAGCCCATCAGGCCCACACCCTGAGTGCGCCAGGGGTTTGCCAGGCCCACCAGGGGTGTGCCAGGGGTTTGCCGGTCACCAGGGGTTCGCGGGCCCGCCAGGCTCGCACCCCAGTGAGCCAGGGGTTCGCCAGGCCCACCAGGCCCGCGAAGGGTTCGCCAGGCCCATCAGGCCCGCGCCCCGGGTGCGCCAGGCGTTCACCGGGCCCACCAGGCCCGCCAGGCTCGCCAGGTGCGCCACACCCGGGGTGCATGCCGCGAGTGTGTGGGAAGAGGCGCCCCGCCTTCAGAGATCCAATTCTTAAGGGGAAATGGCAACATCCATGGGTCAGGGGTGGAAGGGGGTGGGGTTAAAGAAGGGAAAAAAGAAAATGTCCTTACTTATAGAGATAAAGGGGCATTACATTCAAATAGTTTCAAAAATATACGTACACAGAATATAATACATAATATAAATATTAGTTTGTTGGGGCTGCCATAACAAAATACCACAGATTGGTTTGCTTAAACAAACAGAAATTTATTTTCCCCCAGTTTTGGAGGCTGGAAGTCCAAGATCAAGGTGTTGGCAGGTTTGTTTTCTCTTAAGATCTCTCTCCTTGTCTTACATATGGCCGCCCTCCCACATGGTCTTTTCTTTGTGGCAGTACACCTCTGGTGTCTTTCTCTGTATGTCCTAATATTCTCTTCTTATATGGACACCAGTTAGATTGGTTAGGACACACTTAAGATCTCATTTTAACCTTATTACCTTTTAAAGGCTCTATTTCCAAATACAGTCCTATTCTTAGGTACTGAAGGTTAGGGCTTCATATGAATGGGGGGGGCACAATTCGGCCTATAACAATGTATATACATAAAGAGAAACCGATAAAGCATATTACAAATGTAACGCATATTAAAAACTGAGGAATTGGGTGAAGAATATACAAACATTCTTTGAATTTTGCCTGCAATTTTTCTATGTCTGAAATTATTTCAAAAGACCAGTAAGATTTCTGCCCTCATGATGCTTGGGAATAAGGGAAACATACAATGAACCAGAAAAGAAACTAAGAAAAATAAACCCTCAAGACGGCAGTTGTGTAAGATTGTATAGGGTCAGAGAATGTCCTACAGAGGGAAAAGAATGAGATGTACCCAGATTTTGAAGCACCTAATCTTCTCACCATTCTACAATATTTTGGAAATTCTCTTTTCACAAAATGTGAACTCTCAAGAGTGAAAACCATGAGAACATTGTTATGTATTTTTAATATAATTAACAAAAGGATTTGCTTCTATACTCCCACAGTAGTATATTGAAATATCATTTGTTTAACAAAAATATTTTATGGTGACATTTTTAGCCCAAATTCCATAGGCTGAAGATGCTCAGGCACTTCTACACTGGGTCCCCAACTATCCTGCCTGCCTGCTCTTTCTTTGCTTGACCCTCCACTGAGTACATCCTGTTTCTGTTCTGTGTTACTTCTGTTTGTTTGGTGACCTTGCTCTGCGACCCAGAACCACGGCTACTCATTCCTTAAGGCTGCACCTCCAGATTTCCTAACTTAAAAGCTGTGTCTATAGGCCTCCACTTTAAGTGGCCCCAATGTTTCTTTGACACATAAGGGAGAATCGAGATGACATCCTGGCAAAATAGTATTTTTGCTCCAACACAATACAGATAAGCAGAATAAATTACCCCCTCTTCTGGGCTATCGTAGCATATAGGAATACTATTTCAGTCCTCAGAATGATATCCTAACGTTATTTGTACGCCTGTCTATCTCCCCCAATATGATGTGGGCTTATTTAACCAAGACAATTCATATCTCATAACTCATGTCAATCAGGCAAGCACAAAGCAGATGAATGACCAACCCTCTATTAATAATCATTTTAATAATAGTTAAGCTTTACTGAACATTTATAATGTGTCAGACACTGATTTAAGCATTTTGTGTGTGTTCTTTTTAATTCTCACAATAACCCCATGAAGCATTTGCAATAAATGATAGTTAATATTAGAGCATGGGATCTGGAGCCAGCCTGTATGGGCTCAATTCTTTCCCTTATTAGTTCTGCGACCTTAGACACATTCCTTAAAACTCTTGCACCTCATTTCCCTCATGGGCTGGCTCCAGAGCCCATGCTCTAATATTAGCTATCATTTATTGAGCACTTATTCTGATCCAGACACTGAGTTCAATACCACCTCCTTTAATCCCATCAACCCTGTGAAGTAAGTATTATGTTCCCCATTCAAGTTGAAAGAACTGAGACTCAGAGAGTCTTGGCCACTTGCCTGGAGTCACTCACTCATCAAGATGAGGAAGGCTCCACCTTCAGATGGGCCTGACATGAAAGCCTTGCCTTTAGCCCTCCACTTCACGTGGGCCTGAATGTTTCATGGACACACAAAGCGGAATCCAGACCGCACAAAGACAAAAGCATTTAAAACTACAAATGAGTGAGAAATGACAGTAGGACAGAGGAGGCCATGGTGGCGAAATGCACGGAGTGGGCAGCTGAACTACAACAGAGTTCCACGTCTGGAAGGAACAACGGAGTTTATGAACTCCAATCCATTCCACCACTGGTCAAACTTTCATTTTAACTGACTAACCTGAAGAAATCAAGGAACATTTACCATCTCAGAGGACTTTCTAAGCAAGGAGCGTGCCTGCCACTGAAGTTTCACCCCTTGTAACTTGGAACTGATAATTAGTCTACATGTACCGGGATAGCTATTGTGGTTGTGAAAATATTGAAGTATTTCTGTTCTAACTGGTTAAACCTATTCTCCTAAGCCCCATGTCTACCATGTCCTAGGAACCCTCCCTAGGGAAATTAATATCAACACCTGGACCATGATCCTGCTTCCACACTAGGCCAGCTTGGGTCACACCCATCCATTCCATTTTCTCAAATTTCTCTCATCTCAGAACATTCTAATTTTTAGCCAACATGTCTTCTATTTCAATATCATTAAAGCAGACAGCAGTAAGGGAAGACAACCCAGTCTCTGAAACACCCAGCCAGAGAGAGCTACGTTTTTTTTTTTTCCTTACTATAAAAGCATTTCGCATTTTTTGGTTAAAACACACACACACGCATATATGAATACAAAAATGACTAAGAAGCAGAGACAAAATGACACCCATTGCATCACCA